TACTGATGTTTTTCTGTATTTTTGCTATACTGCCCTCAACGATAAATGTTGGTTGCTACTGCTCGTCTTTTCGCCCGCCGAATACTCATGGATTAAGTATATCTGTACGGCATAACATTTCAAGCCAGATCAAAAGTAATACTTACTATGGTGCGTTTCTGTTGTTATAGTGGTTTGCCCATCACTTCCGGTTACTGTTCGTGTAGTTGTAGTTTTTGTAATCACTCGTCGTTCAGAATACACTACTGTTCGCCCATCACTGCTACGTTCTTTACTCTTTGATTGTGATTTGCCCATATTCACCTAAAACAAGAAACGTGGCATTATTTTTGTGTTCTTTCACTTTCAACACGTTTTAACTATTATACATGTAAATATAATTACGTCATGAGCACATATAGAACCATGCCACTCTATGTCATTACGTCATCATGTTCGTAACCACACAGGACCATAACACTCACTGTGTTTACGTCATTGTATTCGTAACCACACAGAACCATAACACTCACCGTGTTCACGTCATTGTGTTCGTAACCACACAGGACCATCTCACTCAATGTGTTTACGTCATTGTGTTCGTGTGCATACATAAGTCACTCTATGCGATTACGTCATCGTTTCCATCTTGTGTCACGCTTCATGAGTGATATACATAGTTTGCTTTGAAACTGAAGAACCATATCGAGGCAGGCTGTGCCAGTTAGTGAGTAATAGATAAACGCTACAACCGAGAAGATTCTAAAGCCAGAAACCCCGTGTTCAGTTCTATTGTTTTGCACTAATCAACGAATGCGCATTCTATAATATGTCTTAGTGCCCTGAACTAGATTAGACTACTAGTAGCTTCAAGCGATTTTTCGGTTCCGATTACCCATCTACTCAGACCTTTCTTTCTTTTGTTCGTTCAATTCACTGTATTGTTATTGGGGGGGGGGGGTAATAAAACATTATTATTATATTCTAAAGTTTATCACAGCCAAGTGTCTCACAACTTTAATATGCATGCCATACACATACCAGGAAAACAAAATTACATTCCGTATGCTATATCAAGGTTACACCAACCTGGTTAAGCACAGCGGCTTTACTCCTTACTTCACAGTGGCACCCACTGGGAACCCAAAAACTGCACCCATCCCTTCCTCTCAAGCGACAAACAATGAACCACAGTCCCTCTATCATAGAGGGACTGTGATTGAACCAATTCATAGCCAGATTACCTTCTACGTAACAATTAATCTCACTACAATGTCTTGAATCTTGGGGACTTTAGTCCATTAATTTAGACTTTAGTTTTTAGATATTTGTGTTACGAGTGTTTTCGAAGTCAGCATGTTCATGTTCGCATAAATTTGCATACAGTATTCCTTGTGAAAACACTGGTTTCTTAGGTCATAGTGTTTTAGTAATAAACTACCCCTATATGGATCCAAGATGGATGTGTGTGTGTGTGTGTGTGTGTTATTCTCTTTGACCTCCCAAGCAGTCTTTTCCTATTGCTGCCCTCACAGACCGTACCTGGATTTAAATTATATTCTCAAGTTTGGCTGATTGTGTTGATCGACGCCCTTCCTAAACTCAGTATGGGGAAAGCAACGGGATCGACATTCCAAACAAATTATTGGGACACAGTCGACAGACATTCCAAACAATCGAAATTATTAAAGAAAGACGAGATTTTTCTAGATATTTACAAACATACTGTCATGACAAACATATGTAAAATTAACAAATACACAAAGAGTGTAATATTAGGTTTTATTTTAGTCCTAGAAATATTTTCTTTCACTCAGCCCATGCATGGAACTGCCATTTAGCTTCATGGTCCTTCAGCTTGTCTTCGCCTCGGGGGAAAACAACAATAATTATACAAAACACATTGCGAAGACTCAACAATCAGGAAAGAAAACCCATACAACCATGTCGTACTTGTGTTGAAATACATTTTGTATTTCACGTCAGAATATTGTTTAAAATAAAATAGTCAATCCCAGCCAAATCGAGGTCAAATGGTCAGATTGCGTGCAAATAATTATAGATACTAGTAGTTAAACAAAAAGTATTTGAACTTTTGTCAGCTGTTCAACATTCATAAAAAACAGAAAGACAATTATAAGACAACGTGAACCTCGGAAAATTTTCTGTTAGTCCGAATTTTAAATGCGCTTGAACGAGCGGGAGGGCGGTAATATTTCGGGGTTTGCGCGGTCGAAAATAAAGCGGAAATTGTCCCGTCGAGCGGTCGCAAAAGCTAGAGAAAAATGTGACTGGAAAGCAGAAGCGGCCGGGAGGTTGTGCGAAATGGGTACTGAAACTTTGCGCAAATCGTTTTATTTTCCAAGTCAATATTCTATTTTATTAATATAATTTTTTCTAACGCAATTGCGTTGACAGACGATGCAAAGACAAATCTACCACTCAGTGTCGCGCTCTGACACAGCAATTTTTTTTCAAACATTGGCCATTTTGTTTCACCATGAAAACAGTTTTATTAGATCTCTTATCAGAGACACTTGGAGGATTAGCTTGTTTGTAAACTGTCAGCGTGTACAGTTTTCTTTATTTTTCACGCTCGAGCTTTAAATTATTCATTATCTGACACTCTTTATGAGTTCTATGATATCAGTAGTTAATATGTTTGACCATTTTTAGTGTATATTTATAATAATGCAGCAAATCTACAGTATTTTATTAACCAAAACTGTTTTTCGCGTTTTTCTCGAGTTGAAGTTTTGATTGATTGATTGATTGATTGATTGGGACCGCCGCCAAATCAAGTGCGTTCGGACTAGGACATTCATACTCGCAGTTATCGATCAAAAGATAATGACGGTGTGAAATTTGTCTGGGTTTTTAAAGAAAATGCTTTGTCACAGAATAATAGTCTATTAAAGGTGCCAAGTATGAACTAATTTGGGGAAAAAACAAACAAACCTGCATAGAAATTGGAATAATAGGTCTTTTGACACATTTCAGTGGACTTGATTACGGACAATGCATGACGTAAATTTCACCAGGAAATTCCGCAGTGTGCTCTCGCAATCGTGGACTTAGTCATTTTTACAAGGTTCGCCATTTTTGATGTCACGTGATAATTATGTAAACAATGACTGTCCAGTTTGTGCGAACTTGTACCTCTATACTTAGTCTTTTGAAATATATAAGCTAAATTACTGTTCTGAACAAGACAACAGACAGAGAATGTTTTATTCGAAAACGTCACAAAACCCTTCTCGCTACCTTAATTTAAGTTTTAATATATGTAGGATTTGTCTCAGTTTGTGTGTGTTTATTTTTAAATCGTACCCCTGTCGCGGAAATGAACGATGTCACGATATAGTGAGGTTTAAATTTTTATATTGTCTGGCATTAACATTACTGCATAAGTGTGTTATGTAATTTTGTGTGTGGAAGAAAAATGGAGTAATGAGCAGAAATAGAAACACGTGACGTGTAATCACGTGACATGTGTTACATGCCCTTCCCACTCGCCCTGTTTAACTATAGTCAGCTGAGTGATCGTGTATTGCTTGAACCATGGTTGGATGTTCGCAAGAGACTTGACTCAAGTCCCAGGTGTTGCCACCAACAAATCTCGTAAAATTGAGGGGGAAGCAGCACTCTGAAAGTCAAGTAAGAAGTACTGGATTTTTAGAGCCCATTTTGATATTACCGCGTAATAGAGTGACGTCACGGATGTGTTTTAATTAGGTAGTAATTCAACTCGCATTTATTTTTGATTAGACTATTCGAAAAATGCCTATATTGCAGTCAGTCATACAGTGTTGATGAATTGAACAAATGTTCGAGTGACGGTGACTTATTATCAATTATGGGCGGAATTCCAATAACACAGAACAAATATAATAATATGCATGTCTTGTGTTTAGACAGCAACATTACGAACCTCAAACACAAACAACTTATCTTTAGTCTGCGAGAATGGAAATTACTGTGCTACTATACTTTTAGTGGTTTTACAAGATTCATAGCCATGTGGTCATAAGGGAATACAGAGTCATGTATTAGAACTATAGCAAGAATCTGATTACAATTAAATCAATGTTTCCAACATCCAATCTTATTTTAATGTCGTCAGGAATAACTGTACCATTGACGAAAAAATGATTCTGAATTGGAGCACCAATTTTACGATTACTAGAGGGAGGAGTGTATGAAGAGCGTATTATTTCAAAAAATAAACTACTTTAAACAAAAAATGTCATCGAATGCGACCAAATGATGCTCAAATAAACACATAACTATAATGTAATTGCATTATGAACACAAATCGTTTATGATTACAGAACAACTAAGCTAGACTTGACACCAGTCTGTTGCCGCTGTGGTACCGCGACTCTGCCTTGGCCAATGAGATATGATTGACAGCCTCGTTAAATCATAATGACCAATCAGCTCGTTTCTTGTTTTGCCAATCGTGTACAAGGCCAATATTTACTTGCCGCCAAAATGTATGGAATGCAATCTGGTATATTTGTATATACGTCTCATCAGGAGTCAATAAAGTCATCTCCAAACATTGTCTAATTCATCAATTCCTGAACTTGAAATATAACTGTACAATTATGGACCACCCACCTACTAATTATAGATGAAAACTCAATTATAGCGACTATTCTGTTTCTATACCAGTCACGTTAGAAACAGTGTCATGATTGCTCCGCCATTTCCACTGCTTAATTTTTCAACTGCAAAAATGACTGATATTTGGAGCACGTCTCGTGTCTCTAGTTAATATCTCCACTAAGTATCACCTTACTTCATTAAATCAATATATATATACATCACATGTGTTTTCATCTAAACTTTGGTAAATGTACATAGAGGGAAATCACATTACAGTTGTTCCGAATAAAACTTGCACGACTTGAAATAATTTAAAACAAACGGGTAATGCTTAATTAATAATAACACAACTTCCTATGATTTAAATTAAAAATGAAAGTTAATTTCATTGTGAAATTAATCTTAACATGTGTAACTTATCTACTACACTCGTATCATTGGCCGGTCGAAGACTTGTGACCAGATCCGTGTTATGAAATATCATACAATACAGTAGTTTCAGGTTTCAGGAATGAAACATCCGATTTTCATACAATTGACCACGGTAAAACCATGACCTGTGTTTGGCTCAGTATGTTATTTTCAGGGGCACTTGGATAGGCGTGGGATAGCCACGAGCATGATAAATTTCGTAGAGAAAGTGGTATTATTTTTAAAAACAGCATGTCCGAAAAAAAGTGTTTTGTATGGAATTTATTTTCACCGATTTTTGATGAGTTGAATGTAAAACATGGAGAAAGGGTATATTTGGTAGATTTTATTTGCACTGGACCATCCCTTCAACGAAAATAGCGTATTCTACAATATACAGAACATTTGAAACTGACGGGAATGTAGAATAAATACAATAATAATTGAGAAACGACTTTCAGTAAAATTGTAAACGGCTATATGTTTCATTTTAAAAATATATCAAGTATACAAATTTACAAATCAACAATGAAATAGAACAAGTATATATTGCTGTTACACTGGCGTTGCAGGAAGTTATGAATTAACCCGTGAAGGAGATGGCGTTGTACCAATTGTGTGTTCTTTGTCGGGCTGCAGTGTTTCCTTTATCGTATCATATCATATTATATTATTGTGACAAAGTTATTATTATGTTCTTATGCGCGCGCACATTTTCGTAGACGCTTTACATGCACGGGGCTTGATATCCCATGATAAATAAATTTGCGTTTACCTTTTTCCGAGTGGCCATCTCCGATTCCAACCACAATGGAAAGTTACAAGTGAAATTCTGTGATTCCCTATTTGTGACACATGTGCCAATTAATTGGTCGATTTTTTTCATTCCATACCAAATTTTATATAGTATAAAGTCCGACCTACAAAAACTCCTCATGGATATAATGTCCGACCCGATATAAAATGCGGAAATGCTCAAACTTTCGAAGGCCTCCAGTTAGTCATGTATTTTGCACGAATTCGTGGTCCTTCTACACAGCAAGTGCATAACGATTAACTTCTAAATATTCATCATCTATCAAGAATTATCCATAAAACCAGTGACCGACATTGAGTTGCAGATGGAAACGTGACTGCCAGAACAACGGTTGTGTGAACTACGAGTTCAAACCCGACCTTTGTGTTTTATTTAAAACAGTATAGAAGTCCAAGACAATTTATGAGAAAAATTATTTAACTATACATATGTATATATAAAGTCCGGCAATTGAGCATTGTGATTGGTCGAGAAGCACTGGTTATGTTTTACATAAAAGTACTGTAAAATATTTGATTTTCACTTTGAATTTGTTTTAGGTATTTTCACTAAAAATAAAATCCAGTGAAAATACCCCTTTTCCTATATTTTATATTAAACTCGTCAAAATTCAGTGAAAATAAACTTCCAAAATAAACGAAACAGCCAGAATGACTTTTTAGTGAAAATTGTTTTCAACTAAAATACGGTATTGTACAGTATTGCACACACACACACACCCTTAGTAATATTATTATGTATATACACAACTCGGTATCAGTATTTATATCATTTTTAGTCATGTGACCAATAACTTTGTAACTGTGTGTCCATTCATAGTACGTCATATATTTATTATTTAAACCGCATACACGTGTCCGATTCGTGTTGTGGACTTACAGGGCCTGATACGACTAGCCAAAATTGTAAAGAAATATTCACTGAACAATGTTCGTGATTTTCGTGATGCGTACACGCTGTAACAGACTGTAACAGATTAAGAATAATATCTGACATTTTAGTATGTTATAAATATGTTATAAATAAATGTAAAAATATTTCCCTGAGATCTCGTGTTATACTGTTACAATGTTATAATTCACCCTTGTTTTGTATGACTAGTCTGAGTTCACGGTGGTATATAGACGCCCACGTATTAAGCACAGCATGGGGCTTATGCGTACTATAGACACATATGTAACATTAGAAGGGCATAAGCAATGGCAGATAATCGAATATTTTTCAGTAAATATTTTTTCTACGGATCTCGAACAGTTATGACTGGAGCGTCAGACAACCTCCATCCCATGACAAATATACCCACAAATTAGCCGAAAGTGAAAGTTTGGTGAGAGAGCCGAGAGCGAAGTTACATTATACATATTAGTCATGTCACATTCATGCCGTGATATGGTATGCCATCAATGTCTTAAAATTACTCACATCGCCGATGTTTCTAACACCGTCTACCTCAACACTTTGCGACCACTAGTTTCAATACTGAGCAGACTGTCTACCACGGAACGTTGCAACCACTGCAGTTCAGCACGGAGTGTCTACTACCACACGTTGCGATCAGTTCAGCAGAGTGTCGGCAGCTGATAGCTATTTTTATAACAGCATGTGGTGTGATCACTTACATATGTAGGCACGTTCCAGAAATAGTTCGGCGGTTACATAATATGCTAATTTTACACTACTCGAACACGCTTAAAGTTAAAGAGAAGAAGGGACAAATGTGAAGTAGCTTGTGTGGGAACATGGAGGTACCTCCATGTGTGAACCGACAAAGACGAGGTGACGTTTATGGGATCAGTACGTCCATGGCGGGATAGATGTCCGGCAGCGTTGGTTGGAAAGGGTAGCGCGGATGGGATACAGGCGTGGTATCGCGGTGAGGCAAAAGCGAGGTAGTGTGTACGGGAAAAGGCACAGTATGAGCTAGGGGGAACTCTATGGGGTCGGGTATATTACGGTGAATATCTCGACAAATTTTCCTGTGTACTATAAAATGCAATTAATAAATATATTCTTATTATTTGTACTTGTGTACATCATTTGACATAATTGTTTCAAATTAATATACATTCCATCGCTTTTAAAATACTCAATACATTTCCCACGTTTGTAATACATCGTAATCTAGTCGTATGTAATTTTGAAATTTCGAACATTTCATTATACTTAGTATATTTTAGTCTGTAATCATTATTTAATGTGATCATAAATATTACCATATTTCTTTTTTGTGTATACTTTATTATACCACTCATGGTATGTACATGGAAGTACGCCACTTTGAACTTTTGGATGGCCGATGCTTACGATATACTCGTAACGAGACATGTACATTACACAAAGGAACAGTATACTCATGATAACCAATAACGGACCGTCCCGGTAAAGTAAGACCGATCTGTGTAATGGGATCATCATCGCATAATTTCAAATGACGGGACTTTGCGAAGCCTCACTTGAATCGACAAATGAGTGAAAATCAAATTGGCAGCATGAAAAGGGTCTGTGTTCAGCTATTACAGGCACATATTAAACTTTTAGTCCCATGCCATTTACAGTTTTTACGGTACTATAAATGTAGTAGAACCCGGCAGTCAGAGTTGATAGTGGGTGACGTTTAGTCAGGATACGGAAGTGGCGCGGGTGAGAGAAAGACTGGGTAGCGTGAAACAAGCTTTCGCGTCCGCGTTTCTGAGAATTATCCCACACTGATGTGGACATCTAATGTAATAAGATACAATTCACTTTTTCAGTCTTTGCGGTAAAGTGACATTTGAGAACACATGAAACATTCATTACATATATGCATTTGTCGCTAAATCCGGGTTAGCAACATTTTTTTTTCAATAAAAAATAATGTGGATTTATAAAAAAGATAGCGATGTGAAGAAGTTTATTGTTTAAGTTTTGAACATTACGCAATCAATGCACTGAAGTGTTGATATAATTCCATGATACAATACCAGCTTTGATCTAAGAGGTCATTGACCCAGAGTTAGCGGGACCAGCGCAATACAAACGTGACCTTGATAATAGGATTGTGTTCAAATAATAGAAGCTGACATTTTTGGACTAACATTATGTAATTGAAACACAAAATATAAGTATTAGAGGGATTACAAAAGAGGCTATAGTTAATATGGGCAGATGATTTGCTGGAGCTGTTGGTAAATTTATGTAATTGATTTTGCTGTGACAATGTATACATGTAATGTATGAACAATTATGTGAATATGGTGTTGTGTGTTATAGGAAGTAGGTGATGTCTTACGTCTTTTGGTTATGTCATTTGAATCAAGAGGGTTAAAGTACTTGATCGGAAAGAATGATTATATTTGTTCTTTGGCAGTGAATGGCTTATTTGTACTTGACTGTGACCCACCCACCACTCGATTGTAATTTGGCCAGCTGCTATTAGACATCACTCAGCATGACTAGTTGGAAGACAACCATGTAAAAATAGCGTGAATAAAATAAACGTCTGTAATGAACAAGGAAAACATATTTTTTTTTATTTTTTATCTTAACCATCAATATACAACAAGTTTACAAAAAAATTCGAGTAAGAATAAAGTAAAAAGTTGAACCAATAGGAGATACAGGTGAT